TTTTAAAAATTCAACATTTATGTGAGATCAGCTCATTAATGTCCCAACAACTGATACATTTTCTTTTCCATCCTTGAAAAAGAAAAAAAACATTTTTTATGAAGTCATGAGAAAGCTAATATACTTCCAAATAATTTAGTCATTTTCTTTGGAGAAAAAAATATTACACACAGAAAGAATATGTGCGGATAGTGTGAATTTGCAATACCGCCAATCCACATGTACGTTAACCGCACATAATATTTCATCATTGCCTTGTTGATGAATTAGCGAGCGAACATTACACGCGGCATCCACATATACTGAATGTTGATATTACTTGAAACACCTATCTTGCCTGCACGTAATATTTTCTCTAAATTAACACATCATCTTCCTCTTCTCCACCTCAAAATCTCATAACCATATAACTCAAAAACAAAGAGAACTCAAAAATCAAAATCAAGATATGAAATCAGTAATGGACCTGATTCTTCCCTTACTTTTCACCAGCACATTTCCTCCTGCAACAAACAAACATGACTCAGATCAGCCTCAGACAAGCACTGACGAACCACGACCTTATTCTTCTTCTTATCCACAATTTTAACCACATTCTCAAACATGGCAACATCACAAGGAATTCTCAGAACTCCTTCGTTCTGAAACCCAAACTCCTCTTCAGCTTCCTGAAGAAGAACTTGGAAAGCTTTGTTCTCTAAAAACTCCATTGGAACTCTGAATCTCTTCATCTGTGTTCCAACGCACAGCACAAAATAGCCTTTGGGAACATTGCTGTTCAGCTCTGATGACGTTTCTGAGAAGGAGAAGGTTTTCTTCAGTTGGTTGATTTTGGTTTTTTGAGTTATGGCGAATTTTTTCCACTTCTGAAAAATCTGCTGAAGAGCAACTGTGTCTGTGATTTTGTTGCTGGATTTAGCTGAATCCATGGAGGTTGGTTTTGGTTTGTGAAGAAAATGTGAGGAAGGTTGGTGTTGATTGTGGTGGTGATGATGGAATGGACTTTGTTGCATGTATTGGAATTTATAGGAGCGTTTTGATGTGTTTTTTTAATGGAAAATTTCTTATGTAGCAACTAATTTATATGTATTTATGTATCTCAGTTAGGTATGGCTCATGTACCAGATAAGGGACGGATGTTGGAGTGGAACAGAATGAGCGAGCGTAGCGGAGCGCATCAATCGTAGTGGAGCTCTGCTCCCGAGAACGTAGGCAAATTGCCGAAC